GTGATAGGACGACTGGCATATGTCCTCGAGTGTGAGTGATAGGAAAAGCGGCATATGCCTTGGAGAGGGAGTGAGAGGAAGAGTGGCATATGCCCTCGAGAGGGAGTGAGAGGAAGAGTGGCATATGCCCTCGAAGGGAGTGAGAGGAAAAGCGGCATATGCCTTGGAGAGGGAGTGAGAGGAAGAGTGGCATATGCCCTCGAGAGGGAGTGAGAGGAAGAGTGGCATATGCCCTCGAAGGGAGTGTGGGGAAGAATGGCATATGCTCTCGAGAGTGAGTGATAGGAAGACTGGCATATGCCCTCGAGTGTGAGTGATAGGAAAAGCGGCATATGCCTTGGAGAGGGAGTGAGAGGAAGAGTGGCATATGCCCTCGAGAGGGAGTGAGAGGAAGAGTGGCATATGCCCTCGAAGGGAGTGTGGGGAAGAATGGCATATGCTCTCGAGAGTGAGTGATAGGAAGACTGGCATATGCCCTCGAGAGGGAGTGAGAGGAAGAGTGGCATATGCCCTCGAAGGGAGTGTGAGGAAGAATGGCATATGCTCTCGAGAGTGAGTGATAGGAAGACTGGCATATGCCCTCGAGTGTGAGTGATAGGAAAAGCGGCATATGCCTTGGAGAGGGAGTGAGAGGAAGAGTGGCATATGCCCTCGAGAGGGAGTGAGAGGAAGAGTGGCATATGCCCTCGAAGGGAGTGTGGGGAAGAATGGCATATGCTCTCGAGAGTGAGTGATAGGAAGACTGGCATATGCCCTCGAGAGGAGTGAGAGGAAGAGTGGCATATGCCCTCGAAGGGAGTGTGGGGAAGAATGGCATATGCTCTCGAGAGTGAGTGATAGGAAGACTGGCATATGCCCTCGAGTGTGAGTGATAGGACGACTGGCATATGTCCTCGAGTGTGAGTGATAGGAAAAGCGGCATATGCCTTGGAGAGGGAGTGAGAGGAAGAGTGGCATATGCCCTCGAGAGGGAGTGAGAGGAAGAGTGGCATATGCCCTCGAAGGGAGTGTGGGGAAGAGTGGCATATGCTCTCGAGAGTGAGTGATAGGAAGACTGGCATATGCCCTCGAGAGGGAGTGAGAGGAAGAGTGGCATATGCCCTCGAAGGGAGTGTGAGGAAGAATGGCATATGCTCTCGAGAGTGAGTGATAGGAAGACTGGCATATGCCCTCGAGTGTGAGTGATAGGAAAAGCGGCATATGCCTTGGAGAGGGAGTGAGAGGAAGAGTGGCATATGCCCTCGAGAGGGAGTGAGAGGAAGAGTGGCATATGCCCTCGAGAGGGAGTGAGAGGAAGAGTGGCATATGCCCTCGAGAGGGAGTGAGAGGAAGAGTGGCATATGCCCTCGAGAGGGAGTGAGAGGAAGAGTGGCATATGCCCTCGAGAGGGAGTGAGAGGAAGAGTGGCATATGCTCTCGAGAGGGAGTGATTATTATCGATGGCAGACATGTAAAGAAAAATAAATTGATTGAGGAACACGTGAAAAAGTTAAGGGATGTATTTTGAAAGTTGTTTTTGAATAGTGGCTAATTATGTGTTTTGAGCTGCACTTTATTTAAAAATTTTTTTTGTAAGTTTGCCGCCCTAAATTTGTCTCTTTCATATAGCCGGAAAGAAAATCAGATATTTGCACTTTTCAGTAAAATTTTCAAAGAATTATACAGTTTTGACTGTAAGATGATTAGGGTTGCCGTTTTCGATTCACCCAACGTTCGGTGCATATTTTTCGAGCTTGGTTTTTTTTGTTTCGGGTCGAGCGAGCTGGGAACTCTAAAGATGATGAAATATGTATTAATAAAATTTAAGTTGGGAGCAAATGCCCATTTGATGTTTTTATGCAATGAACCAACTTCTGGCCCCGTAAAATAAAAAGGTGGTTAGGTGATTCAGCGCCGACATACCCTAAGCATCGGGTTTGGTGTCGCCGTTTTTCTATTTCTATTTTTCGAAACTATGTGGTTTTCCTGTAGATTTATCTGTTTCAGCTATCGAATTTAGATGTTGATTCTATTCTGCAGTTCGAGGTGCATCGAACAATGACAGGGCGTCCCGGATTCAACGAAGGAGATTGGTCGCTTTCCCAAGGATAAGTTAGTGGGGATGCTGGGCTTGAATAATGGGCGGTTAATAGCTATTTATGAATAGCCGTTTGTAATATTCTGTGCACCTTCCAGCAAACTTAACTAGAGCGACATTCTCATCACGTGTTTTTAGGATGATTTTTAGGATGATTTTAAGCATTTTTAATGTTTAAAAAGGATTAACTAATCAAGAGTTACTTGTCTCTTTTGAATTTGTGCTGATGTTCGCAAAACTTTTTTTGTTGCTAAATTACAAAGAGGACCCAATTTAAGGCCTCAATTTTTTATCTTGTCAAATAATGTTTCACAAAACTTTTTAATTAATTTTATATAAAGGTCAACCAAAAAGCAAACAATAAATTATTAAAACAAGGAATAAATTATTAAAATATATTTTAGTTATTTTATCTTCTAAGAATGCCCATAGAATGTAGAATCCTAGTTCAATTCTTAGCTCAGCGATTTTATCTTAGCTCAGCGTTGGGGGGAGGGGGGGGGCTATTTTATTGGGGGGAGGGGGGGGGGGCTATTTTAGAAGGGGAGCTATTTTTAGGGAGTGGCTATCTTAGAAAAAATACGGTATTTCTCGTTGCTAAAAAGCTTCCCTTATCTAGGGAATAGCAGTGGAATAAAAATTTAAATAATTAATTTAGCGTCATTCTTCGTGAAAGACACAATAAAAGTTAAAGATTTCAAAAAAGTATATGCTAAACAAGAGGAATGGCTTAAAGATTTAATGTTTCGAGAATTAATTTTGCAAAAATTAATATTTAAAAAATTGAAAGAAAATGAGATGATTGAAGGAATAAATGAAGAAAATATTGAAATGAAGGAAATTGAAGGAAAAATTATGGAAGTAAAGGAAATTGAAATTGGAGAATTAATGGAGAAAATAGGAATGGATAAAATTGAAGAGTTAATGAAGGAAAGGAAGGAAATGAGAGAAGATAGGAACAAGGAAGGAGCTAAGAAGGAAGAAAAGAAGGAAGAAAGGAAGGAAGTAAAAGATGAAGTTAAAGAGATAATTAAAGAAATTGGTGAAATGGTGAAGATTGTTACAAATGAATTAACAGAAGAAAATAAAGAAGAGAAAATGGAAGAGGGTAAAAAGGACGAAAATAAAAGTGAAGGCAATAAGATTAAGGAAGATAAAGGAAAACATAAAGAGAAAGAAATTGAACAAAAAAAAATTAAATTGGAGAATAAAATTAAAAAAATAAAAAATTTGTTGAAAAATATTGAAGAAAATGGGAAAAAAGGCAAATATGAAATTAAAAAACTAATAGAAATTGTGGAAGAAATTAGAAGTACAAAATTGAAGAAAAATACAGAGAAACGGAAATTAATGAAAAAAATTATGGAGATTGAAATTAAAGAAATGAATTTAAATATTGAAAAATTAAAAGGAGGGATTGAATTTATGCTGAAAAATACGGAGATGAAAGAGATTGAAGATAAAATAAAAGGAATAGAGACTGAAGAAGTAAATTTAATTTGTACATTATTGTTGTAGGATCCGGATATCCGGATCCGAAAAAAGACCGGATATCCGGAAATTTTCGGTTCGGATACCAGATACGGATCCGAAGATTTCCATCTATCCAACAACCTTATAGTCTATCCTCTCTAATAAAATAAATGTCACTTCATTGAGTCACTCCCTCCATATTAGTCAATATCCTTCCATCTTAAAAAATTCCGGATATTAAAAAATCTCAGTTAGAATATCGTATTAGAATACAAATCTGTGTATACTCTAGTATTTTGAGGAAATCGAGAGGAAAATTATAGTGGTCTGAGGGTCATTATGGTGAAAATTCATCACCCGTTGTATTTGATACTGAATTATATCTCTAACTTTTAGGTTTTACAAAAGGAGTCGATTATAGAAGAAATTAAAAAAGTGAAGAAAAATGAAATTAAAAAGAAAATTTCTGAATTTATAAAAATTATTAAAGAATTAAAAATTGAAGGAATTGAAGAATTAATTAAATATTTGGGAGTTACTGCGGATGAAAAAATGAAAATGAAACAAAAAGTTGAGGAATATGATAATTTGGATATTTTTGATAAAATTTTAGTTCAAAAAAGAAATCAAGAATTTCTATATTCAATGACGAAAGACAAGAAGAATTTTCCATTTCAAATTGAAAATTTTGAAATGGAACGAAGAAATGAGCGTTCTTGTTATAAATTCCATGAAGTTAGAGGCTGCAAGATAGATTTGTGTATGTTTTGTTAATTTTTAAAAGTAATTTAGAGCCAAAAATGCTAATTTAAAGTGTTATACATAATAATATTTTTTTACAAATCTAGATCTTTTCCAATTTTGCCATTACTTGCAGTTCAAATCTTAGCGATCCAACGATACAGGATCAACTGAAATCGCTATTTACCTATGAGAGAAATAAATATCATATCCATATATACATCTTCTTACGATACTTGTAGTAATCTCAATAAGAATTTTATTAAGCATATGAGTTTTTCTAGCGTCCAAAGCTTCTCAAGCTTATTCTGCTCTTCTATTAAAGCCTATATTTATGTTCATAAAAATCTTTAACAATACATATACTCAAATCCTTTAACTTTAAAATAATAAATTTATTTTCTTTAATTTAGCCGGACTTTACGTAAAATACAAACCGACTGAAGTATTTGGATTGAATTTAGCCCGAGCCTATTTGCCTTCAAGTTTTTGGATTAAACCCGATTTAGAGGATGTTAATCTATATAAAGACCTTTGGCATTCTGATAACAAATTGGATTTACTTCCTGACCATCAGAAAGGAAATGATAAACATCGAGTAATAAACCGATGCTCATTTTATGGGTAAAATTTATTCATAACTTAAAATAGTGTTAAGGATGTTGTGACTGTCTTAAGCATGCTCTTATTTTATTCATAAGTGCTTCTAATGGCTCATTGTCCGAAACCGGCATCAGGATTTATCTTTCGGTTCGGAATCCCGCCTGATCCCGACCGGGATCCGGATCTCGGCCAACTAATTAATATTTTATACAAAAATTATTTTAGTAAATATTATGTGCATAATGGTTACCCACTCAATCCAGTGGCTCGAACTGGCTTTAAAGGCCGCGGATCGAATAATCAGTGGGGGCCGACTATCGGATTTGGAGCGATATTATATGTTACAGATAAAGAAGACTCTAATAAATTTGAATTTATTGGTGTTGAAAATGGCAAGTATGAGAAGAGATCGTGTAAGAAATAAATTTTTAAATATTTTAGTAAATTTGCTTATTGTAAAAATCTTTGAAATTTAAAAAAATATAAATTAAAGTTATCGTCACGCCAGGCGGGTTTATTGATACAGGAGAGAAATTTGAATATGGAGCAAGAAGGCGGTTAATAGAGGAAGCTTTTGGCCCAAATAAACAAAGAAACAAAGAAGAATTTGAAAAGATTGAAAAAATTATTGGTAAAGGAGAATTGGTTAAATTTGGTATTAACGATTTAAATCAGGTAACAGAAAAATTAATTATAGTATTTAGAACTTACGCTATTATGCTACTGTTGCAGAACCCAGCGACTGATGATTCCCGCAAGTCGCGTGCCGAAAAATCCCGTGCGAAGCGCGGGATTTTGCAAAAGCGCCTCGCCGATGCCCAAAAGTTTACGTTGTTTGCTTTTGTGTTATTTTCGAATAACCCCAAAAATTCACTCATCCGAGCCTAATATCTTTGAGCCCAATTTTCCATTTTTATCCCTTAGAGCCCGAATTTCCGCTAGAGCCCAATTTTCCGAAAAATCCTGGAGCCAACCAGAGCCCAAATTTTTGGGACTCTTATTATCTCATTCTTCCTCAAATGTTCGAATATTTTTTCACTTTTTTAAAATTTTAAGTTAGATACAGACAACGCATGGACAGAGTCCATTACATTCGCATTTGGCATTGATTCTACTATTAAAAAAGAATTAAAATTAAAAAAGGGTAGTGAAGCAAAGCAAGTTATGTGGATACAAATAGAGCCTGTTGATAAGGGAATTAATGTTAAAGCTGAATTAGAAAAATTGTTTAGTTTGGAGGAACGTATAGATTATATTCTTGAAAATTTTGAGGTTATAAATATCTTTTATAAAAACTTTTTGTTTTAAACTTTTTGTAATGTGAGTAGAAGAATCATATGCTCAATTACTCATATCTCTCTTATAATTTTTTAGATTTCGACAAATTTAATCGCTTAACTTTTCTTTTATTTCCGAGTTTTGGTATAACTGCTAAATCACTCCAGCCTTTTAAACTTCTTAACTTAAATAATAGCATGATCTTTTCATTTTGATAGAACACATTTTTATTTAAATAATCTTTAGGCCTGCTTGACATCACCAAAAGAGGAGAAAACACCTCTTAAAGAGACACCCCAAGAAGAGAAAGCACATCATAAGGAGGAAAAAACACCCCATGAAGAGAAAATGCATCATAAAGAGGAGAAAACACCCCATAAGGAGGAGAATAAAACTGAAACTGACTCAAAAGATAATACTAAGAATTTAAATGAACAAGAATCCAAAATTTGTTATAAATTTAATTCTGATAAAATGCTTTATATGCAAGATGTTGCTTATTTATATTTAATTAAAAAATATAATGAGAAAACATTCTTGGAAATACTTGCAAATAAAAAAGTGAAGAAAGATGAACATGAACTGATTTTCAAGGAGAAGGACGAAGGTTTGAACGAGAATGAGGAAAATTTGAAGAAAGGAGAAAGTTTGGAGGAAGAGGAAGAAAGTTTAAATGAAGAGAATGTTGGAGAAAATGTTGGAGAAGATGCTGCGAACAAGTATAATTCTATTTAAAATTTTAGTTTATAAATAGATTAAAAATGATTGTTGAGGTTAGAGTTTTACAATTGGGACAGAAAAAGACCCCGAATAGGCTCGAAACTTTGGCCAATCATTAATTGGCCCGAAAAATCTGTACCGACCTAATCGATAAAAAACAGGAAAGGACTTAGTCCGGACAGTCCGACTTGGAAACGACAATATCTAATACGGACAGGCATCGGATCTTGATCACTACGGGCTTCTTCTTTTCTAGTCTGCGATTAAATTTTGCTTAGATAAAAATAATCTACATATAATACTAAAAAGAATTTTACCAAACATCATGGAAAATATCACCAAGATTTCCGATCGAAATGGAGCAATAAATTTCTAGGTCCAATTACTAGAAGTAATATATAATTATAATAATTATTATGTAAATAATTTTAATAATACTTTATTTAAATAAAATTAAATTATTTAAAAGTTAAACGCAAACATGAAGGTATTGCGGATGAAGTGAGAAATCCAAGAAACCTTGAAGAAAGGTAAAACAAACATTGAAAAGCAAAAAATTATTTTTTAAGAAACTGTAGTTTATATACGTAAATCCTCTATTTAATGACAACATTCAATTTAAAGCCCTCCTCTAAGGTGATTTTACTTTTAAATGTAATTGAAGGGCTTTCGAAATCAAGAGAACACTTACTAAATTATGAAAGGTGATATGTACGAATTTTTTGAAGTAATGATCTTATAGAATTTTTGATAATTTCTGGAAATTCCCATAAGATCTATTTAGAATTCTAAATAATTTGATATTAAATTAGAGGATTTACGGTTGTAGTAAGCATATTATTGCTCGTCCATTCAAAGAATTTTTTGCGTATAAACAAATTCATTTATATTTTTTTATTACTGAAATTTTTGAAATGAAAAATTGGGAATCACTAAGGATTATATAAAATTTTTAACACATTCCAATACATTTTATTGCATAAATATATAAAAGGGAGGAACTGAAAATATCTCGAAAAGCTGATCAAGTTTGCATTGTTTCCGGATTATTCAGTGTACTTTATGGTAATTTCGGTTACGAATTTTCGTATCGGAAACGTGTGCGGATATCGGATCCGGATATCAAGGGATTATTATTTAAAATATAATAATAAGTCTGAAATCTAAGTCTGAAATTTAGTTTTAATAGAATAGTAAGATTTTAAAAATAAATAACAATGCATTTAGGTAATTTCTCCCCTATTTTTTTTGATTTTGGGGACCTATATCTCGTTCCACAAACATTTTCGCATCTAGAGAGTGGTACCTCCGACTCAGCTCCCCGAGACGAATCGATTGACATGACTAAACTATATCCTTAAAATTATAATAAACCACTCAACCACCGATCAGCATGTTTAATTTTTTCACAACTAAAATGTTTTAATATGCATTAGTTGCAAATTTATTTTCAAGGAAATATTATAAAATTAAAAATAAAAATTCCTAGCGCGTGATTTGCTTAAAAATCATATTTATCATATCGGTATATCAATATCTTGAATAATGAATCCTCAATTATGTTCAATGTAAATTAAAATATGAATTATATAACGCTCTTTAATTTTCATTCAATAACACACGGGCAAATTTCCAGGGGACGTAGTAGACTTCTGACAGACTAGCGGTGACTTTGGTACCATTTTATTTTGCGGAGTGTGATAAATGATAACATTTCCATTTTGATTAGTTCCTACAACTTGCTGAGTATGTTGGGAAGTTGTTGAATGTACTTTGGCTGTTCCATGCAATATTAGGGATTGTATGGCACTCTTATAATGCTTAACTGTTAAAATGGTCACAATTGGATTTAGGACAGCTATCCAATGAATTGGTAGGCGGACAAACATCATCTTAATTATGAAAAATAATAATAAAATTTTGGGTAAATTATTAGAAATGTCAAACCAGCGTTCGGCGCGAATTGCTGAGCCGGTTTGACTGCTTTTGGGTATAAAGGCTGACTCCAGCGTTATTACAATTTAAATAAAGCAATTTCCGTTAATTTCCCAGTATTTATAATCTTCAGACTCAAATGTCCGTTCTCAGACTCAAGTGACACCTTTGAAAATATCTTCATTCAATTCTCTATCGAATGAGACCTCAAGCATTTTTGTACGACTAATACTTCAAAAGTTATAAAATTTTAAAATTAAGCATAAATTCGACATGCGGGCCTTCGGCCCGCGTTGCAGAAAACATGCGGGCCTTCGGCCCGCATGTTTTCTGCAACGCGTTTCGAATTAAAAAATATTTTCAGTTCTAGCGGTTGCCTCCGGCAACGCGTTTTTTGCAACGCGTTCCGTTTCTTCAAAAAATAAATTTAAAGTCTGGCGGTTGCCTCCGGCATCGTGTTTTCTGCAATGATTTATGATTTCCTCAAAAAATAATTATATTTTTGGAGGTTGCCTCCGGCAACGCGTTATATGCAACGCGTTCCGAATTTTTAAAATAATTTAAATTCTAGCGGTTGCCTCCGGCAACGCGTTTTCTGCAATGTGTTCCGAATTTTTAAAAAATAATTTAAATTCTGGCGGTTGCCTCCAGCAATGCGTTTTCTGCAATGCGTTCCAATTTCCTCAAAAAATATTTTTTATTCTGGCGGTTGCCTCCGGCAACGCGTTATTTGCAACGCGTTCCAATTTCCTCAAAAAATATTTTTTATTCTGGCGGTTGCCTCCGGCAACGCGTTCAACTCCTCATTCAATTTCCCATCGAATGACACCTCAACCATCTTTCTACGACTAATACTTCAGAAGTTATAAATTTTTACATTTAAGTCATAAAAAACATAAAAAACATGCGGGCCTTCGGCCCGCATGTTTTCTGCAACGCGTTTCTAGTTGAAAACATAATTTTTAATTCTGGCGGTTGCCTCCGGCAACGCGTTATCTGCAACGCGTTCCGAATTTTTTAAAAATAATTTTTAAGTCTGGCGGTTGCCTCCGGCAACGCGTTTTCTACAACGCGTTCCGAATTTTTAAAAAAATAATTTTAATTACTGGCGGTTGCCTCCGGCAACGCGTTATCTGCAACGCGTTCCGAATTTTTAAAAAAATAATTTTAATTACTGGCGGTTGCCTCCGGCAACGCGTTATCTGCAACGCGTTCCGAATTTTTTAAAAATAATTTTTAAGTCTGGCGGTTGCCTCCGGCAACGCGTTTTCTACAACGCGTTCCGAATTTTTAAAAAAATAATTTTAATTACTGGCGGTTGCCTCCGGCAACGCGTTATCTGCAACGCGTTCCGAATTTTTAAAAAAATAATTTTAATTACTGGCGGTTGCCTCCGGCAACGCGTTATCTGCAACGCGTTCCGAATTTTTTAAAAATAATTTTTAAGTCTGGCGGTTGCCTCCGGCAACGCGTTTTCTACAACGCGTTCCGAATTTTTAAAAAAATAATTTTAATTACTGGCGGTTGCCTCCGGCAACGCGTTATCTGCAACGCGTTCCGAATTTTTTAAAAATAATTTTTAAGTCTGGCGGTTGCCTCCGGCAACGCGTTTTCTACAACGCGTTCCGAATTTTTAAAAAAATAATTTTAATTACTGGCGGTTGCCTCCGGCAACGCGTTATCTGCAACGCGTTCCGAATTTTTAAAAAAATAATTTTAATTACTGGCGGTTGCCTCCGGCAACGCGTTATCTGCAACGCGTTCCGAATTTTTTAAAAATAATTTTTAAGTCTGGCGGTTGCCTCCGGCAACGCGTTTTCTACAACGCGTTCCGAATTTTTAAAAAAATAATTTTAAATACTGGCGGTTGCCTCCGGCAACGCGTTATCTGCAACGCGTTCCGAATTTTTAAAAAAATAATTTTAATTACTGGCGGTTGCCTCCGGCAACGCGTTATCTGCAACGCGTTCCGAATTTTTTAAAAATAATTTTTAAGTCTGGCGGTTGCCTCCGGCAACGCGTTTTCTACAACGCGTTCCGAATTTTTAAAATAATTTTTAATTCTGGCGGTTGCCTCCGGCAACGCGTTTTCTGCAACGCGTTCCGAATTTTTAAAATAATTTTTAATTCTGGCGGTTGCCTCCGGCAACGCGTTTTCTGCAACGCGTTCCGAATTAAAGTTATTTTTTAAAAAATATTAGAAAAGTTACCACTTTGACATAAATTCTTGTGGACAGCACATCTACCCTTCTAGTTGTCCGAACGACTTCAACTCTTTTTCTATCATATTCTCCATATAGTGTAGATTTAACCTTGTAACTGACCCAACTTCCCCCGACTTCATCTTTTATCTCAAATTTCACTTCAAAGATTCGAAAAAACACGTTTTTTCAAAATATCTCGTTTTTTCGCTTCTTGACCCCCAATTTTCGGATTTTTCCTGAAAACTACATTAAATTTCCCATCTATAGCAAAAAACCCCACCCCGATACACCCACTCAAAAGCTCTGGGGACTTTTTTTTAGCTGACTGCCTTTTTACTATTATATATAGATAACCAGCGTTCGGCGCGAATTGCTGAGTAGTTTTAATAGCTTTTGGATATAAAGGCTGACTCCAGCGTTATTACACCTAATTTAAATTAATTTGGATCAATTTCCCAGGAATTGAAAACGTCAGACTCAAATGTTCATTCTCAGACTCAAGTGACACCTTTGAAAATATTTTCATTCAACTCCTCATTTAATTCCCCATCGAATGACACTTCAACCATCTTTCTACGTCTAATACTTCAAAAGTTATAAACTTTTGAATTTAAGTCATAAATAAACATGCGGGCCTTCGGCCCGCATGTTTTCTGCAGCGCGTTCCGAATTTTTAGAAAATAATTTTTAATTTCTGGCGGTTGCCTCCGGCAACGCGTTTTCTACAACGCGTTCCGAATCTAAAAAAAATATTTTTATTTTCTGGCGGTTGTATCCGGCAACGCGTTTTCTGCAACGCGTTCCGAATTTTTAAAAAGATTTTTTAATTCTGGCGGTTGCCTCCCGCAACGCGTTTTCTGCAACGCGTTCCGATTTCTTTAAAAAATAATTTTAATACTGGCGGTTGCCTCCGGCAACGCGGCTTCTACAACGCGTTACGAATTTTTAAAAAAATAATTTTAATTACTGGTGGTTGCCTCCGGCAACGCGTTTTCTACATGGCGTTCCGATTTTCAGAAAAAATAATTTAAGTCTGGCGGTTGCCTCCGGCAACGCGTTATCAGCAACGCGTCTGGATTTCCCACTTTTTACACAATTTTTATAAAAAGTTTCAGTCCCAGACTGAAAGTTATTAATGAGACTCAAGTGTACTTTTTCTTAAAAATTAATTTTTTAATATTCCCATTACTTTTTAGAATTTTTTATATTCATTTCCACTGATTTTAACCTTCAGACTCAAATATTCCACCATCAGACTCAAGTGACCCTTTCAAAAAAATTTTCAAAAAATTCGCTTGATTTTTACACGTCGAATGACACCTCTATCATGTTTTTCTGACAACTACTTCAAAAGTTACAAAAAACGGCTCACCGTTGCTTAACATTCCAGATCGGACGGTCTAGATAGTCAAATTTAAAAATTTTTTCCCAAAATTTTAATTTTTTAAAAAATTCATAACTTTTCCAAAAAAGGTCGAAAATGCATAAAATAAAGCTTATTCGATGCAGAATTTAATTCTCTATCTTTTATCTCTCAACACTTTTCTTCTAACTTCAAAACAAAATATAGTTAAGGTACACTTTTTACATTCTCCTCAAAAATTCAATTTTTACTCCATATCTTTTTTTCTGTTAACCCCATCAACTTGAAACCTACTTTTTTCTTATGAAACCCATCACGCTCTAAAACTTCTCTCCCAACAACTTTTTTCTATCTCGTCGATAAACACCTTAAATCCTTAGTTACCACTTTGACGAAAAAGTTGTCAACAGGCACATCTACCCTCCCCGATGTCAGTACGACTTTAACTCTTTTTCTATCATATTCTCCATGTTGTGGTGCTTCAACCTTGTAACTGACCCAACTTTCCCCGACTTCATCTTCATATTCAAATTTCACTTCAAAGTTTCAAAAAAACACGTTTTTTCAAAATATCTAAAAAATTCGCGCCTTTCCCCCAACTTTTGGAGGTTTTCCTGAAAACTACACGAAATTTCCCATCTATAGCAAAAAACCCCACCCCTTTACACCCACTTAAAAGCTCTGGGGACTTTTTTTTAGCTGACTGCCCTTTTACTATTATATATAGATAACCAGCGTTCGGCGCGAATTGCTGACATGTAAATAAGCTTTTTGGGTATAAAGGCTGACTCCAGCGTTATTACAACTGATTTAAACTAATTTGGATCAATTTCCCAGTATTGGAAAATTTCAGACTCAAATGTCCATTCTCAGACTCAAGTGACACCTTTGAAAATATTTTCATTCAACTCCTCATTCAATTCCCCATCGAATGACACCTCAACCATCTTTCTATGTCTAATACTTCAAAAGTTATAAATTTTTACATTTAAGTCATAAAAAACATGCGGGCCTTCGGCCCGCATGTTTTCTGTCTTGCATTTCGAATTTAAAAAAATATTTTCAATTCTGGCGGTTGTCTCCGGCAACGCGTTTTCTGCAACGCGTTCCGAATTTTTAAAATAATTTTCTGGCGGTTGCCTCCGGCAACGCGTTTTCTGCACGCGTTACGAATTTTTAAAATATAATTTTTAAGTCTGGCGGTTGCCTCCGGCAACGCGTTTTCTGCACGCGTTACGAATTTTTAAAATATAATTTTTAAGTCTGGCGGTTGCCTCCGGCAACGCGTTTTCTGCAACGCGTTCCAGATTTTAAAAATAATTTTTAATTCTTGCGGTTGCCTCCGGCAACGCGTTTTCTGCACGCGTTACGAATTTTTAAAATATAA